CTAGGGGGCCGTCTATTACCCCCGCCCAACTGTCTTACGCAATTGGTGATTAAACACTTAGGTCTCGGTTAACGAGTGTAAATGAATATTAATTGTTTTGAAAGTGACAAAAATATTTGTTATAATAAGCTAAAAAGAATCGACTGCATCAATATAGACTCCTGTTACTCAGGAAACTGATGCCTATTGACGGAAAGTTAACCTTATATTGGCGGAATGTAACGAAATAAAGTGAAAGTCGGGCAACTGAAAACGAACACATAGTCTATTATTATAAGTCAAAATTAAATAGGAACTCTACAGACAGTCCTGCGCTGATTCTAGTTGAACCGGCAAGGATCGGGTATGTGATTCCAATGAGAACATAAAGCACAGGAACTCCTTGATAAACGGGAAGAATGACAATATTAGTTTTATCCGTACGGTAGATAAACGAGACAATTAGCAGAGCCAGTGGCAGGCGCCTAGAATACGCCCATTCCTAGCATAAACTTGTTTTATTCCTCCGAGCAGCTGGAACAGACGCGCAATATGAACTATGTGAATAAGAATCGTATAAACGGGCGAAAAACCGTAAACACGATTTTATTGGTTAAAGAGAGTGGGATTGGGTAATACGGTATTTTTAGGAGCAGCCTTAACGGACTCGTGAGCAGGCAGGCAGCGAGCCGCCCTCTTCTCAAGCTATCGATCCGCCCACACGCGGTGAACGCAAACTGGCAATAAATCAATCAATTATTTGAAATTTAAAACGGTGGCCACACTAATACTCTGACAGGCCAGCCGTTGAGTCGCAAGCCAATCGTGTCGCTACTCGCGTGAGGACAGTATCTGATTGGTTCGATGGACATGGCTGTACACGCGTTTGTTACCTTATGTATGTTGTACAAAGTACGCTAAAGGACTTCTGCTTTTGCGCTCTTCTTGTCGTGTTCTTCCTTGGCGTAGTTAGGTGGTTGCATCTTGGTTTTGGCTGCATTTACAACAGGCATATGGCAGGCAAAATTATCCCCTAACACTAACTTTTTTCTCAATCTCACACAAAAATATGATAACATGTCTACTTAAATAAATAAACAGCCCCGTGGTAATAGTGAAACTGAAGTGCTTACTGTTTCGATTTACGTCCTTGAACCGTGTTACTTTTTCTTTCGGACTTTAAATTTCTTCTTTGATCCCTTTCAGATAAAGGTGGAAGAACAGGTCAATCCGCGGAGCAGTCGGACCCTCAGATCACACACAGCTGCCCAACGCGAACGGGAGGAACGCGATCGTCATAGTGAGTCATGAGCTACCCATCTATTTTTTTAAAAATGTACATTACTGTGAATATGTGGGGGCCCCGATCTGGTTAAAGAAAAATTGCGTTCCGTGTTTGCTCTGGAGCTTAGTTTAGAGCCCGTGCAGACAGCAGCATAGCGATCGCACGTGGCGTGGTAAATAGTTAACATGCGTTTTTCTGTTTACCCTTGCAGCAGACAACGCGCCAATAAAGAAACGCAAGATCCGCTCCAAGGCTGGCGACTCTGAGGCTACCGCTTATACAACGAATGGGTCGGACTCGCGAGACGACAACGGATCGGACATGCCGATGACAGATCACGGTGCCGACTCCTGCTCATCCCTTGATCACGCCAACAACAACACCAACAACAACAACAACAACCACGGTCCCAGCACCGGCAATTCCGCCGCGAAGGCGGAACAGTACGAGGGCTACGAGAGTACGGCAAACTCTGCTGGCAGCTCTGGTGAGGCGGCCTGTGATGCGGCGTTACGAGGATTCCCCTCTTCCTCATCCTCCTCCTCCACCGTGAAGGCTTTCGACGATCCCCTGAAACCCAGCCCTCTGGCCTGGGGTGAAAACCCCTATGACAAAGCCGCTGCGTTAAATAAAGGGGTGAGTAAATTAATAAGGAGGGATACCTTTAAGGCTTTATTTGTTTATATTGAACCGCACTGGATTTGGCTGCGCCTGCAGTGTATGCCAGCAGTTTTTTTTAATGAATGACGATAGATATATTTCTCGCAGACAAAATTTAGATCCCAATTTTCGTTCCTGCTGTCTCAGACCATTGGTCCAGAATTGGGATGCTTTTGTAAACAAATAGGCATTGTTCACCTCTTAAGACAGTCTCTGTTATTGATACACCTGGTTTGTTCCTAAATTAAGCTCAGATAGCGTGCGAGATGTTTATCCATTGTGCAAATATTTTTTTGGCATCGCCTTATGTTCCAGTTTTTTAAAAGGATGTTTCGTTATTTTTTTTCTTCCCCTTTCGTCCACCAGTTGAATGAATTAATTGGCAAGCTTGTGGAATTACAGCCCAAAGAGCCGACCGGCTACCAGGACTATTTGCTTGTGACTCGAGAGTACCTCCTGCAAGATCGAATTCCTTCTCATCTTGTCAAGGTAATTGTGTTTGTGCATTAACTTATGCATGTTGATTTTCAGCGCCGAACCGACCGATTGAAATTCGATCTTTAGCACTTTTATAGAAACTAACTGTTTTAAATTTACT